ACTTTTATGAAAATTGTACAGTTAACTTTACGTTTTCAAAAATTATATTAACGTACAATTTATCTTTTAATTAATATATGAAAATATATACATATACGACTTTTATAATACAAGAGTAACAATATAATTAAATTTACTCGCGTAATATGTGTAATATATTTAAAAATATTCATATATAATATAATATAATATAATTAATAAAACAAATATTCATAAAAACATTTCAAGTCAATTTGAATGGATAACCGTTTCGAAAATACGCGAGAAGTAGTAACGGTCTGCGAAAGGTCAGACGGTGCGGTACGGTGTGTGTAATATAAAAAATAAAGTATTTGATTACGTGTGATAATATAAAGGTGTTTAGGAAGAAATTGTATTGTAAAATGTTAAATATAGTTGAAATATTAAATATAGTTGAATAATAACGATCAAACTAACGAAGTTTAGATGTATTGTGTTTGGAATATTATAAAGAGAAATGTATGTCGAAATAAATAAAAAAGACGCTGAGCTTTAATGATTAAGGTAATATGTAAAAAATTATATTGTATAAACCGCATGTATCGTAATAGGATATTTATAAGAAAATAAATTTTCCAGTTGCTGAAGAAGTCCCAATAAAGGGACGAAACGTCCAACTTAATTAAATTAAGTTCTACTTCTTTTCATGTCCAAGTTCCCTATGAACCTATATCATCCAAAAAATTATAATTTTGGACGAGAGAAAATACTGAATAAATAGTTGAAATATATGACTCTGGAAAAAAGATAAAATGTATTTTGACTCGTGAACTGTAACGATCGAGTTGCTGATGAAGTCCCAAGAAAGGGACGAAACGTACAACTGGTTCGAAATAAATCCTTCATAAAGATTTAATAACCGTCCAAAATTCCCTGTGCAACTAATGTGAATATTATAGTTCTGGACAAGAGTATCAATAAATTAAAATAAAAAATAAAGATTTTTCTAATCTTAATAAATTCTCCAACAAAAAAAAAAAAAGAAAAAAAGAAAAGATTACACACCTCCTAGTTAATTAAAGTAAACGTTGGGTCCCATTTCTAGGTAGATCGTGTCGTTGAAAAGAAAAAGAAAAAAAGAGAGAAAGAAGAGACGGTACAGAAAAAAAGTGACGCAAAAAAGAAAAGAAAGAAAGAAAAAAGATAAGCAAACGAGAGAGAGAGAGAGAGAGAGAGAAAAAGAGAGCCGACTTATGGTGAAACGACCCCCGATAGAGAGACTATGGCTTTTTTATGGACATTTAACGATAACTTCCCCCGTTATCTTTTCTCTCTCTTGCTCTCTCTCTCTCTCTCTCTCTCTCTCTCTCACTTTCTCTTGTTCTCTTGTTCTGTTCTTCTTCCTTCATCTTCCAACGTATTTCCCTTTAAAGCAACGCCTCGAAATTCGTCGAAAGTAGGCCATTGAGATTCTAGTTAACGATGCTATCGGTATAAGGCAGTTGCCTTGGCTTGCTAATGTTCTCCTTAATACATCCCGTCTATAATTCATGTTGAAACATTCGTCAACTTCATCTCCAAGGATCGACGTCTTTATCGACCTCCATTTTTTTTTTCTTCTTTTTCTTCTTCCACTCCTCCTTCTTTCTTCCTTCTTCTCTCTTACATTTTTTTTCTTTTTTTTTTTTCTCATCTTCTTCTTCTTCTTCTTCTATTTTTTTTTTTGTCTTTTACCATTCCAGACACAAAGAAGAGAGAGAGAGAGAGAGAGAGAGAGAGAGAGAAACTTCTATTATTATTCAAATCAACGTTCGCATTGACTTTTCGCTGGCAATCGATACGTAAAAATCGCAATTTCCAAGGGGTTGCTTCTTCTCGTCATACCCCCCCCCCCCCCCCCC